ACTCTCCTGTTTCAAAGTTAACTTATTTCCCATTACTTCATAATCTGAATACTCTGTCAAATATGTTTATATTGCTGACAAAGACCTATTTCCAAAATGGGTTCTTAGAACTTTTTTTCCAATTTTTAATACAATATTAGTTAAAATTATAAATGTTAGATTTGGGGAGAAAAAAATCCATAAATGCCTTCATGTATCTAATTATTCTCAAAGTTTTTATTTTGGTTGAATAAGTAAACTTTGGATATAGGCTCCTGCATAAATAAGTTTATTTCCTTTTTAAATAAAATATATACATCTGAAAGTAGAATTCATTTCTGACACTGACTACCTGGACTTGGGCTAAACATCACAGGCTAAGGGTTCAGTCCTCTACAAGACTGCTCTTGCTTCAGACACGAGCTGTGCATGTTCAGGGCTCCCGGGTGAGCCTTACTTCTGACCAACTGGCCACAGATTTCAGAGTTCCCACTACTTGCTCAGGTTCAATGATTCACTGGGATGATTCAGAGAACTCAAAAAGCACCACACTTAGAATTAGGGTTTTATTATAGCAAAAGGATGAAAATCAGAACCAGTCAATAGAAAGGACACATAGATGAAGGCTGGGAGGGTCCCAAACACTGGGCATCTGTGCTGTCGTCTTGTGGAACCAGGAGATATCACCATCTTGGCCCATGGATGTCCTTTGCCAGCCTGAGCTTTTGTATCCAGAGTTTTCTAGTGGGGAAGGAGTTGTTATGTAGGCATTATTAGTTGAATCACTGACCATACAGTTAAACTCAATCTCCTCTCCCCATAGGCTGGGAGGATATCAAGAGGCTGAAAGCCCCAAGCTTTTTAAATACATGGTTGGTCTTCGTGGTATAGTCATCCCCCTTCCTTAGACATCTTCTCATAAACTCACATGTAGTCTAAGAGGCCCACCATGAATAACAAAGATACTCCTGTCACTCAGGAAATTTCAGAGCTTAGAAGCTGTCTGCCAGGAATCAGAGAAACAGAACAGCCAAAGTCTTCATTATACAGCAGCGTTTTAGAGTTTGCTATTAGAAATGGCCTTGATTGTGAACTACATAGGTAAACTGCCTGAATCTGAATGCTCCTAGTCATTGGATAAGCTATCAGTATTGGAAGAGCAACAGCTACAAAATCTGACAGCAATTAAAACTGATGTTGAAATTTTCGGAGAAAGTCTTTAAGTACTTAGCAGATATGAAGAGATATGTCTTCACATGTATAGGAAACAAAAAGATAAAAATAAAATTAATATAACTGTTTATTGCAGTTACATAAACTTACCCGAATACTTCATTATGAACATTTTAGTTGCCCAGGGTTGATTCATAACCTTTCATACACTGAATATAAGAATTTTATAGGTAGAATAGTTGATTATAGGAGTTTGGATATATACATGGTACTTTAGTTTCCCCAGCTTTTCAAGTTATCAGTTCTTAATATATAATTACCAAAGAATATTCTATTCATTTTGAAACTACTTTTCAGTGACCTTTTTTCAGTATTTTCAAATCCATAAAGACCATTGTAGATAAACTTCTAGCTAAATATCCTCATTTGCAATTGCAGTCATGTGCATATAACACATATTTAAGCAGGATAGATTTTTCAGGTCACTTTTGAGATTAATCCAGATGTTTCCAATGGAGTGCCAACAGAGCTCATTCACACAGCTGTAAATCAGAACCAACCAATATGTTCCACATGCTTTCAAAATGAATTCTTTGATCTATCAACAGTACACCTTTCAATAGCACAATATCATAATTGGGAAAGTTATTGAAAGCTATTTTATCTGCACATTCATAATTCAAATGAATGAGGTGACTGGATGTATCTCAAAGGTCCTCTGGTTGCCACTCAAAGCCTGATAATTTTGTATTCATTTCAACCTGAAAGCAGCCATCAGAAGAGATATAGATACAAAAACTACAATCAAATTCAGGAGTTTGATTTTTTCATGTGTCATATTCTGTGTTGAGCTACCAAGTTTTAACACCCTCATTGTGAAGTCATTTATTTTATTCCAGCATTCTCGTGAACCATAAATTGCTTCAAGATGCCAGCAGTTTATTTAGCCTTAAAACGCTTCAGATGTTTCTGTCTTTCTATCCCCCATGATCGTTTGGCGTTAATTGCCCTCAAAAATGATCCTAGTGGAGAAGGCAGGGGAATGCTTATCTGGCAGTTCACTAGCAGCATTAAGGATTTTAATTGTATGAGATAAACATGACAGGCAATTATTGAATGTTGTTACACATTAGAAAATTAAAATGGAATGCTAAGCATTATACTCTTTTGCAGTTGTGTCTTTATCTCAGTGCCTAATTTGTATCTTTCAGCAATTTAATAGATTGAGTTTTATTGGAGAGACATTTTCTGGAATACTCTATTGGAAGATCAAACATAAAAATTTTATATCTGCTTACTTAATAATACAATGTGAATGAAACCGAAGTCAGACATGACATATTTCACCAATGCCATTGTACTTCAGCAGATAAAATGGAAAGAATTTCCATTTATCTGTTACTCTGAAGTAGTGGCATGAAAAATCATGTGAGTCTACTGTCAGTTATAATTACTGAATGACAAAAGGTTAGAGGTTTGTTTTTGCAGTTATTTTGATGTTTTGCAAGCCAGGAAAGGTGGTGCTAGTGGTAAAGAATCTGCTTGCCAGTGCAGACGACATAAGAGACTCGGGTTCGATCCCTGGGTCAGGATGATCCCCTGGAGGAGGGCCTGGCAACCCACTCCAGTGTTCTTGCCTGGAGAATCCCGTGGACAGAGAATCCTGGCAGGCTGCAGTTCATAGGGTTGCAAAAACTTGGTTACAACTTAGCATACACACATGCACAAGGTAGGAAATGCAATTCTAGAAATATTTCAATAATTTATTACATATGAAATACTAGTGTTCTTTTACTAAAGTGGTTTTGATAATACTTTGAAATAGTTGGCTTTTTGTTATGTAATTGTCTTTTATAAACATTAAATAATTTGGTTACTGATGACATGGATTTGTAAGTGACTAGACATTTTTAGCTTGCCTCAAAATGAATTATATACCTAAATATAAGAACTAAAACTATAAAACTCTTGAGAAAAAAATGGGTGTTTTGACCTTTATGACCTTGGATTAGATAATGGTTTCCAGATAGGACATCAAAACACAGAAATAAAAATAAAAATAGATTAATTGGACTTCTTTACCATTTAAACTTTTGTTCTTCAAAGAACACTAAAATAAAAGAGACATAATAAATGAGTTTTGACAAATGTATAAAGTGGAACACTCATATCCTGCTAGTGGTATTGTAAAATGGTACAGTCACTTTGGAAAACAGTTTGGCATTTCAGTAAAAAGTTAAATAAAGAGTTATCATATGATCAAGTAGTTCCATTCCTAGATACATACCCAAGAGAACTGAAAACTCATGTGTACAGACGCTTGTACACAAATATTCACAGCATTATTTGTAATGTACAAAGCATGGAAACAACTAAAATGTCCATCAACTGATGAAAGGATTAAAAAATATGATATGACCAGACAATGGAATACTGTTTAGTTATAAAAAGGAATGAGGTATGAACAAATGTCCCAACATAGAAGAATCCTGAAAACATTGTACTAAGTAAAAGAAACCGATCATAAAGCATAATATTTGATTTCATTTTATAAAATGTTCAGAATAGGTGAATTCTTAAGAGATGCAATCTAGATTAGTGGTTGCTAGAGTACGGTAGGGGAAAATGGGAAATGGTTGCTAATAGGTATAGCAGTGGTAATGAAAATGTTCTAAAAGCAGATAGTGGTGATGGTTGCATGACACAGACTATATTAAAGACCAAAACATGAGCTGACTTTTATGATATATAAATTATGTCACAATAAAGTTTTTAAAAGTCTACCTAGAGTTCTTAATAGAAACTGTTTACATGATAGTCATTTTCAAAATGGAATCTTTGGCATTGATGTCAAATGATAAGAGCAGAGTGTTCTCTTGTTTCTGGAACATTCTCACAGGCAGAGTGTGACAGAGGATAACATTTGACTCTTGACCAGGGGAATTTTGCTTTTTCCACTTACTTGTCTTGAGAAAAATAGGGATAAATTGATAACTGTGAAGTGCCAAGTTGGTACTGGGGGAGTGGTTAAGGAAAATGCTCCCATTTCTAAGGATAAATCTGCAGACTCTTAAATTAATTGACTGTGTGATTTGATGGAATGAGTGCTAGACTAGACTAGATCCTAGCCTCATCTCTGATTGCGTGACCTTGCCCTGTCATTTCTCTCTCTGTATTTATCTTATCTGTCCAGTAAAGCATCAGTACATGCCCACTACATTTATGCTATTTTCAAGAGAATCAAATGAATACGGTATGTGAAGGTGCTTTGAAATTGACAGCACTATAATAATATGAGGCATTATTTATTTAACATCTTTCATTTTTCTTCATCAGACTTGATTTTCAGTGAAAGCGAAACATAAGGTGCTAAGTTAAATGGTTCCTTTTGAATATTGATTGAGGGGGTCTGGCTTTCTTCTTGAGGAAGAATGTTGCATGGACTCAGATACTTGAACTTATGTGACATTAGCAGATAGGATTTTATAGAAAACTGTTATAATTTTTTAATGTATTATTCTGGCAGCATGAGAATGACACGGCAGCAGACAGGTTACTGTCAATTAAACACGAGCTGTCAGGAAGTCAGAAATGTTGAAATATGGTGAGCATGAATCCTAAGCAGATCATATGGCAGCTGCTGCTCAGGTCTTACTTTAACAGAGTCGCTGTGTTATGTGTCGTTTTCCTGCAGGATTTAATTTGAGTCCCTAATGACAGAGACACCGCTACATTTGCATGTTGCTGGCAAGTCAAACTTGGACCTTCTAAATGGGCTGGAACGGTGGGTGGTAATAGCCGAGTGACATGTGGAGGAGACAGCTCTTGTCTCATTTTTGTCCGCACAGGTTACATTGAAGAGGCGTGCATCATCCCCTGCCCCTCAGACTGCAAGCTCAGTGAGTGGTCCAATTGGTCGCGCTGCAGCAGGTCCTGTGGGAGCGGCGTGAAGGTTCGGTCTAAATGGCTGCGTGAAAAACCCTATAATGGAGGGAGGCCATGCCCCAAACTGGATCATGTCAACCAGGTATTTGCTGCTCTTGGGAATATTGTAAAATACCTCTTAGATGCACGTTGATCTCTTTTTTTTTTTTTACCCAAAATAGAGAATAAATAATAACGCCTGAATAAGATATTTGACCCACTTTATCTTTACCATGCCTGAGTAAATTATTAAAATTACAAGTCAGATGGATGACCTCTGTATTTGCAAGAGATTTAATATACAGTATGTGTATATTTGTGCATATTAATATAATTCAATGGAAATAAACAAATGAAATCAACCTTTGAAATACTGTCAAGGTATTTAATCTGTTGTCACACAGTAATTTGAGTGTTGAGAGCAAGATTGTCTTATCTGATAAATCCATTAGACTCAGAAAAAAAAATCTCAATTGCCAACCATACAAATTAAAAGCAAGGAAAGTATGTATGGTGTGGGTCAAAAATTGGGAAATATATATTCTGTTTGATATTAAATATGTTAAGAAGAAAGAGAGATGAAGATGGTGTCAGAGTAACTGTATGTTATCTATCAATTTGGTGATTGGCCTTTTCAGTGTTATTTGGAACTTTATTTGACTTTGAATACACATTTTGTTAGCAGCTATTCATAGTTATTACTTGTGTTCCACTGGAAATAAAGAGCGAAATATCTAATAGGGGGAATTGTTTAATATAAGATTACTCGTTTAATGTAACATAAGATTCATCAGACAGTTGTTGCCATGTTTGGCCTACATGAGAATTAACAGATAGTGAATTTCACACTAGAGATGAAGATATGTGTGTGGATATTAAGATACATATTTAAGTCTCAAAAGAACCAAGTTATATGTATGAACCAAATTTAAATATGTATGTACATTTCATACACACATAGATTGTCTAATTTTAACCTTCAAATACACTGCTAACCCATATACATTTGCCTTCCCAAAATAACCTTTGTTCATCACAATAAAAGTAAATTATAGAAAAATAAAATAACTTTTGAATAAAGCAATTAAGGGCCAGGAAAGTGGTGAATTAAATTGCATAGGAAGTCTTCTAAAAGAATGTTGATTTTTCCTAAGTAAAATCACTTAACGTGCCCTTAAATAAATGCAACTAACAGTGAATAATATACTGCACTGCTGCCATCTACTGGTAGTTGGGTTTCTCTATCCCAGTAACTATTTCTGAAGAAGAAAGTGCGTGACCCTGATGCAACAGAATAACGGAAATGTGATGTTTATAATACAAAAGAATATTTTTCTACAAGTTTTGAAATATTGAATTTCCAATAGTAAACTTAAATTTCAATCATTTTTATCCACGTTTTGAATAACCTCTACACATTTTCTTACCTTTAGTGTGTATGTGTACAGCCAGCCAGAATTTAAAGTAAGTTTCGTTTGCCTCAGCGTCTTTTATGTAGTGAATTTAGGAAAGTTCAAAATGGCTGTGCCAAGCTGTCTTTGCTACTAAAACTTTTCCCTGAGCCACTCCTCTGTCACTCTGATAAAATCTAATGCAGAGTATGATATCTGAGTATTTATTACCAGTCTACTGGTGGAATATTGAGACATGTACAATGGGAAAATCAAAACTGAAACAGGAAATAATCGATTTCTGAGTCTTTGAGCATAAATATTCTACATTAAAAGTAGAAACTTCTAAGGATTTATTTGTTAGTAAAATGTAAGAAAAGTAAAGAATATGCAAAGGTTTGTATAACTGAAAATTGGTGGGTTTTTTGGTGTGAATTTGTGAAAATTATAAGTCATATAGATTTTTACTGCAGCCATACATTCCTCAATAAGCAATCTGTGATAGTTTGCCTTGAAAATGGTTTCTGAGGTTCCATTTTCCATTTGAGGAAGCAAATACTCATTTCCTCAGAAATATGGTTGAATGAATTGATTAAGATCAATCAGTCTATAAATAGCCCACTCACAGCTTGGTCCACCAGATATTTGCAGTCATATATTAATTCCCCATGATACATATTTTGAGGTCTACTCGGTTTTCTAAGATTTCTTCATCCTGCCTATCAAATCCTTTCCTGGGCTGTGCTGTTTGCAATTCATTTGTGTATCTTAATTTTAAACAATAATAAGGAGTTGGCTTTTCTATTTCAAGGTCTAAGATAAATGTTCGAGTCATTTACCAAAAAAAATACAAAAAAAGAAAATAAAACCCACCTTTTTTATATGGATAGTACTTGAAACTTAGAGCGTGAGATCTTCTCGCCAAATACACTGACATTTTAACTTGTCTCTGTTTCTCTCCCTTTTCCTCATTCCTGGCGAACCCTGCTCCAGGCCCAGGTAAGAACTGCTAAACTTCATGGTTCATAATAGGGTGCTGTTGGTTTCCATTTTACTCCTGGTATCAGAGAATGTATTCTTTTTATCTTTTACACAAAAGAAGTCATAGTTTTCATAAACTTTTCTTCTGCAGCTGTTCCTTTTTTTCCCCTAATGTGTTACATGTGTTTTCTCGTTTTAAAATCAGGGCCTAAGGTACGAGGATAGGGGAGAACAAGCTTAAATCACTCGCCTTGAGAGGCAGTGACACCTCCTGTCTCATGCTTCTCAGAAAGTGAGGGAGAGGCGTAGGTGGGCTCCAGGTGGTTGCGAGAGGCCGCTCTGGACTGATTTGTATTCTTTCCAGCGTAGGAGATTAAAATGAAAGCCGTCAAAGGACTAGGAAAGAGGGCATTTCCCCTTCAATCATTCTCCACATTCTCCACATTCAATCATTCTCCACATTCAATCATTCTCCACAACATATGAGGTAATGTTTTACTAAATACTAAAATAGTATTTAGTCATATTTTAATACAGAATGCAATGTGAAGGTGATCACTTATGACAGTAATGACAAATTCTTACTCCAACAGTGCATGCTTTTTTCCTATGTGTAGTAGGTCAACTTTATTCACTTTACAGGAATGTTTAGTAAAATGAAAATTTGCACAAAGAATGGTTCCAATGGACTATTTAAATCTGTATTTTCTGGAATTGAATAACTATGTAAAGTATTCACCTATTATTGTGTATGGATGGGTATGTATAAAGTAGGAAATAGAGTTGAATTATCATAGATTTTGAAATAATTTTAAGAGGCATTTTTCTTTAATGATTGAATCAGCTCTGTTGCAGTGGATTAAAGTCCTTTTTTTTTTTTTTTCATTGATTTACTCCATTCTCTCTCACTGAGAAAAGACTATAGTTGGTTCATTGTGCTAAAAATCCTGAAACCAACCAATGACACCACTGCAAACCTGGACCTGCAAGCTTTAATGGGCACCAGAGCACCGACAATTTGCTTTATTCCATGTGGCTCTCACTGCTTTGTAGCTGTGTAATATGAGACCAGTTTCAGACCTTACTTCCAAACCCTAAATGATTTGAGATAACTTTATTTAAGATAGCTGAATTTCATATTATTTATCTTTTAATTTCCTATATGGAACATGAAAAAACTCTTACTGGCATACATACTTATTTGGAAAATGGGCCAAATTATATTTATTTTAAAATAGCTACTTTTATTGGAGAAGGAAATGGCAACCCACTCCTGTGTTCTTGTCTGGAGCATCCCAGGGATGGGGGAGCCTGGTGGGCTGCCATCTATGGGGTCGCACAGAGTCGGACAGGACTGAAGTGACTTAGCAGCAGCAGCAGCTACTTTTATATGCTGTGTTCTTACTGTTGTTCAGTCGCTAAATCGCATCCAACTCTTTGTGACCCCATGGACGGCCCAATGCCAGGCTCCCGTGTCCTCCACCGTCTCACAGTTTGCTCACATTCATGCCCGTTGAGTCAGTGATGCCATCTAACCATCTCATCCTCTGCCGCCCTCTTCTCCTGCTGCCTTTCAGTCTTTCCCACAGCATCAGGGTCTTTTCCAGTGAGTCAATTCTTTGTATCAGGTGGCTAAAATATTGGAGTTTCAGCTTCAGCATCAGTCCTTCCAGTGAATATTCAGGGTTGATTTCCTTTAGGGTTGACTGATTTGATCTCTTTGCGGTCCAAGGAACTCTCAAGAGTCTTCTCCCAAACCACAGTTTCAAAAGTGTTGTTATGTGCTTACTTAATTACTTAAAAATTAATGACAGTTCTTCTATTCATTTATTCATCTTACTCAACAAATCTCTATAGAATGCCTCACATATGAACACCCCGGGCTAAGTACTGAAGACACAGGAAACTCTGAACAGGAGGCCTGGCCCAGGAAATTATAATACCATGTGGTAAGGGTCAGTCCAGGAAAGTATGAGTGTGTCTGATGGTCCGTGAGGTCTGATCTCCAGCCACAGTGGGATAGCAGATCAGCACATCACAACAGGGCTAGCCCTGCCTGCCCTCCACTGCTGCAACTCGACCTCTCACGAGGGCCTCCATGTTCCTGTTTTAGGACGATGAACAGTAAAAGAGAGGCTGGTGTAAAAGTGAAATATCATGATTACTGCAGTGTGAGGTCATTGAGGCCCGTGTGTGTTTCAGGTGTATGAGGTCGTCCCTTGCCACAGTGACTGCAGCCAGTACGTGTGGGTCACAGAGCCGTGGAGCATCTGCAAAGTGACCTTTGCGAACACGCGGGACAACTGTGGAGAGGGGGTGCAAACCCGAAAAGTGAGGTAAGGCCAAACAGGGCAGCCAGGGCGCCGCCGCCCCCCGAGTTCTCATGTGCCAGCCTGAACCTGCCCTCCCCACAGGTCTCCTGAGCGAAATTGTCCGCGGCTTCACTTTTAGGGAGTCTTGGGTTCATGGAAAGCTCTGAGAGGATCTGCTTCCAGCAGCGGTTTGTCACCTCCGCCTTCTGATTTTTGGAAGTTTTGCTTCACCGTGCTCTTGCCAGGAAAAAGCTCTGTAGTGAATGTGAGCTGGACTAAATGCAGATTTTCCAACCCCAATCAGTTCTTCCTTAAAGGTCAACTGTATTTCTAACCATAGTTCAGTGATAATCTTTTATAAACTCTTTATCCTTAGCATCAAACTGTCTACCTTTTGGATACTCCCATTGCCCTGGGAAGCCTTCACTAAAACCCCTGGCTGGCTAATGCCACTCGTGTTATCTGTGCCCAGTGGCCAGTAGGGTAGCCACTCACCATGTGTGGCTATTTCACTTGAAATCTAAACTAATGAAAATTAAATAAAATGCATTTCCTCAGCCACACTAGACCCATGCTAAGTGCTCCATAGTCGGAGGGGGCTAGTGGCTATTCTTTGAGACAGCACAGTATTTTTCCATTGTCATAGAAAGTATGATATCCTTGTATACTACTGAGCAGCCTTGTTCTCTAATGCCCCACATACCTCTTAGTGTTTGAAAGATCCATCTACATGTCTGTCCCCTTTATTAGATGCTCTCTCTCCAAACTGAGACCCTGTCGTACTCGTAGAAATTCTCTAAAACCCAATACAATTGAAATATTGTAAAAAATGTAGTTTAGTTGCTAAGTTGTCTCTGCCACTTGTGACCCCATGGACTGTAGCCTACCAGGCTCCTCTGTCCATGAGATCTTCCAGGCAAGAATACTGGAGTGGGTAGCCATTCCCTGCTCCAGGGGATTTTCCCAACCCAGGAGTTGAACCCGGGTCTCCTGAATTGCAGGCAGATTCTTTACTGACTGAGCTACAAGGGAAGCCCGTAATAAGTGTAATACAATTAAATTAACTCATTAAATTATACCTAAAGCATCTGCATATGCTTCTTAAGGGTCTCAAACCTGGGAAATCAGTATATGAGTCTTTATTATCTCCACTTTTAAGAGAAGGTTCAGACGTGCTAGGTAATTAATGTGCCTAAGCAGACAGTGAGTAAAGTGACATAGTTGCATTGAAACTCAAATGTTTTTTCACTCTTCATGAATTTAATATGACTGTTTGTTTATCTGTTTCAGTAGGAAAGTAGAGCAAATTAATGTTTATATCATAAAACCTTGGGATTCTGTCTAAAACACTGGCTCTGATAAAAATAATCTCTATCTCTTTTTTTAAACCTCACTTATCTTAACTCTCAAGTTATTTTTCTGAGTATTAAAAAGTGGATGAGATGGAGGGTGGAGGAAATTAGTTAATAGGAAAACAGAGAAGAAAAAGATATTCTGTTTTCTACCACTCTTCTGTCAAATTTAAATTTTATCTTTAAAATATAAAAGTATTTTCTTTATATTAAAAATTTGATAAAGTTTGGTTTTTTTTAATACAAAAATTACAGTAGCTTCTTTCAGCTTTCCCTCTAGCTGTCTATTTATATATGTTGCTTCTTTTTGCTTTCCAAATGGCTATTGTCAACATTTTCAAACACATCTTAAACAAAGTAACTTTTAAGGTCAACTTATTTTTTCAGTAAACATTTTTAATGTAAATAGAGAATTGATGAAAATTTCTTATCATGTAATAATGTTCCTTAAGGTTAAATGTCATGGTAGATGCAACTACTGGGTGACATTTCAGGACAAATACATCTATAAGATAAGAAAGTGTGAAAGTGAAAGTCACTCAGTCGTGTCTGACTCTTTGTGACCCCGTGGACTATACAGCCCATGGAATTCTCCAGGCCAAAACACTGGAATGGGTAGCATTTCCCTTCTCCAGGGGATCTTTCAGACCCAGGAATCAAATTGGGGTCTCCAGGATTGCAGTCAGATTCTTTACCAGCTGAGCCACAAGGGAAGCCCAGGAATGCTGGAGTGGGTAGCCTATCCCTTCTCCAGCAGATCTTTCAGACCCAGGAATCAAACTGGGGTCTCCTGCATTGCAGGCGGATTCTTTACCAGCTGAGCTGCTAAGGTGGCGTGACATTGCAGAGACTGAGGAATAGTAGCAATTTGCCCTGGTGAGACAGAATATTTTTTCACTAAAAATATTTTTATTTTCTAAAATTTTTCTAAAATTTCCAGCACATGATGATAATAAGAACCAGTCAGATTTGGTTATTTCTGCAGGCAATCTACCCCCTAACTGCCACAACTGTGGTGAGTGCCTGGCTCCACCCTTGGCCCCAGTTTGGTTCTAGACTCTGTTTTCTAAAACAGTTTGATATTCTCACAGCATAATCCCTTCTCTTATGGAATGGAAAAAGTCCAGGAATTTGAAGAAAGCAAATGAACTCAAAGTGCCTTCCTTTGGGCTCAAGACTTGATCCAAATAGGTTTTCTGTATTACACAGTGCTAAATGGTGGTGGTGGGACTAAACCACTATCACCATTCTACAGTGATAAAAATATCATTAATATAAAATCAAATAAATAAAACTTACAAATAATCTGAATGTCAGCAAGAAGGGTTTATAGCAGTTGTGGCACATTTAAATGCTGAAATTGCAAAATTCAAATGTATTCATTAAAAAGTATGTCTTAAAAAAACAGTTAATAACACAAGATGTTTATCATATATTATTGATGTTTTTCCTAAATGGTGCAAATAGTAGGTAAAGTTTATTCCTATTTAATGAAATGAAAATATATGTTTAAATACAGTAGTCTGCTAAGAGTGGTTCTCTCTGATATAATGTAGTGAATTTTTTATTATTTCTTCTGATTTTCCTAAAATGAATTTATTACTTGTATAATAAAAACTGAAGGAAAAGAAAAGGCTTTGAAAATAAAGTTTTATGTACATAAGTACTTAATAGAGTATTGAACATCTGTCCCTAACTCTGGATCAATAGGTAATTTTGCAAGTTAATCCTTGTACATCATGTCAGAGCCTAACATGAATGCAATCTTTTCTTAGCAGCAAATCCAACTTTGGAGATTTAACTGTCCTGTCTGTTCCATGTCCTCTCAGAGCTACTGTCAACAGAGCATTTTTAAAATGCCAGTGAAGCTAGAAATTTTTTCCTAGGACACTAAAATTCTCTCCCCAAAATGTATAATTTATTTTTTTTCCTTCAACAATGAAATTACAAAAACGTCTACATTTGCATGTTTTTTGTGATTCATTTTTATTTTTTTAATTTATCTTTAATTGAAGGATAATTGGTTTCTGCCAAACATCAACATGAGTGATTTCTTTTTATATTTATATTCAGCATACAAAAAAATGCAGAGTTGGGTATCTGTGTGGATATTTTTTCAGGTTATAAACCCAGTTAAGATGAAACCAACAGCATAGTTTTCCAGTTTTTGATGCATCCCACAGGAAACCCACATTTCTCTTAAAATCAGCAGCACTGTATGGAAAGGTGATTCTGCAGAGTAGAACTGTCAAGATGCAATCTCCCTACTGATTGTAAATCCCTGAGAAAAATTGAGATTCCAGGTATAATTGGTAATATAATGCAAAACAGAAAAAGAGACAGAGATGTACAGAACAGACTTTTGGACTCTGGAAGGAGGTGAGGGTGGGATGTTTAGAGAGAACAGCATCGAAACATGTATATTATCAATTGTGAAACAGATCACCAGCCCAGGTTGGATGCATGAGACAAGTGCTCGGGCCTGGTGCACTGGGAAGACCCAGAGGCATTGGGTGGAGAGGGAGGTGGGAGGGGGGATCGGGATGGGGAATACATGTAAATCCATGGCTGATTCATGTCAATCTATGACAAAAACCACTACAATATTGTAAAGTAATTAGCCTCCAACTAATAAAAATAAATGGAAAAATAAATAAATAAAACATTGCAGTGGGTTTGAGAGGCTTAAGAGCCCAAGCCTTCCTCTTCATCTCCTACAATGCAGTTCTCTTCCCAAACCTGTTAGTTTGGTTGACCTTCTCTGAGTCACAAATGAGGGATAAAGTTTTTGTCTTCTGTTAGAAAAGTGCCTGGAGAGATTAACTATGGTAAAAAGCAAAGTCCAATAGTAGCCACTTTAATTAGATTCCCAAGAGATGAGTTAAAGAGCCCTTTATGACTGCTCACAACAGAATGAAATGTAATGAAATGTTTGGATTTATTCTGTTAAAAGAAAGCTAACAATAAAAAAGGTCAAGTTATAGGAAGATCCCAGCAAACCCCATTTAGAGAAGTCGTGCTATTACTCTAATGATTGTCTCTCACTTGTGGCTTTCTTTTAAGGTTATCAGCAAATGGGAAGCTAAAATTGCCTGTTAAATGACAAAATAACTTGATAAATATCATCAGTTACTTTCAAAAGCAGTTAATGAAACCTCTCCCTAGGCGATATCAATGTGCCTTGTCTTCCATCATATGTGAATCTACCTTCTCTGTGGAATCCACTATTTTTCTTGAAAGGGAAAAAATGCATTATATTCCAAAATTGCAACCCATCTCTGAATATCTTTGGCCAGTGCTTTAGTTAATGCATGATATTCAGGTGTAAATAAATTACTCTCTCCTTTCAGAGGAAGACACATACAGTTTGTATATACAGAGTATATACACATAGTGGCTACAATTTAAAAGATGATAATGATACATGCAAGCAGAGATTTTTAAATCATACTGAAGGGCTCCAACTATTTATGGGAGGCAGAGATCTTCTATGTCTTTATGTTTGGAGAATTTTATTTAATAAATGCCAAGCTCCCCATCCCCTGCCTCCATGGTGATGTCTTAAGAGAAACTTTGACCCCTGTGGGTTGCCCATTGTTTGATTGTTCAGATTCCTTCACTGATAGACATATTTTCTTCTAGATGTATGCAGAACACAGCGGATGGCCCCTCTGACCAAGTAGAGGATTACCTCTGTGACCCAGAAGAGATGCCTCTGGGCTCTCGAGAGTGCAAACTGCCATGTCCTGAGGACTGTGTGGTATCCGAATGGGGTCCGTGGACCCGATGCTCTTTGGTGAGACAATTAACCATTTGTTAATGTCGGATTTGCTTAATTCCTTACCACTAAAGCTTTTAAACTACTACTAAGGAAATAAAACTTGGTTACTGAATTAGTTACCAAAACAAGGTGTGCTGTTGGCTACTTCATTCTTATGAATGTGCCATTTAAAATCAGCAGTGTTTAGACTCATCCCGGCACAGCTTAGCCTCTTGCAAACTTTATACTCCTTCACCATCCTCCTAATCCTAGCACAAAAGTGCCTTTAGATTTATGAATACACAGCATGTTAAAAACTGCAGTAGTGAAAATGATTCCCTCCAGGTAAAGAGATAAAGAATGAGACTCTAGTAAAAGTACTTTCATAGTGTCAAGTTGTTATCATCCCTTGCTTTTTGCCCAGTACATTTTATTTAAATTGTAGGAATAATCTTTCACACCGTGGGGGTATGACAGCAGGAGTATTGACACTAAAACTCAAAAGATCCTGGTAAGGAAGAGAGTAGAAAGAAGAAAGCTGGGCATCTCTTTCCACGCACTGACTCTGAGCCTCTTTGGATCTGGAAAGCCAGCTTAAAGTTTCAAATTGCACAGAGCTTCTAGATTTCAGCAGCCCATGGGGCACTTCCATGGGCCCTGGGGAGGAGAGTCACTTGAAACAGGACTGGCTGATGATGTAGGAAATTTGGCTTACCCTGGGCACATTTGTAAAGCTGCACACTCAATGTGGCATCAAAAGCATGGAAAAGTTATTTAATGTGTAATTTATTTGCTGAAATATAATATGGGACAGATATATGTTTTCAAGGAGAAATTAATTTTCTGTTCCAGTGTTAACATTATTAAAGATGCTGATTAGCAGCCAACCGATAGAGCAGGAGCAAAACAGGGATGGCATTTGACTTGGATACAGAATAAACTGCAGTAAAGAATCAGCTGTTTCACAAGGGTATGCAAATGATTTTGTATTCTAATTTCATAGCATCAGGTTTGAAGACACTGTTTCTGCTCTTAATAACCAAATGTTTCCAAAACAAGACTGTACCAGCAGGAGAATGGCAGCCAGTTTTTTTAAATTAGTGCTACCTTATATTTGTGTGCATGCACGTGTGCACATTAGGAAAATATTAATAGCTGTTTTTCCATGGACAGAGGAGCCTGGTGGGCTACAGTCCATGGCATCCAACACAACTGATCACCTAACACACACACATACACACAAGCTTAATTTTTCAGGTCCAAGAAAATAGATTATAAGTTCTATGACCTACAGTAAAATTTGTGACCTACATTAATTAGTATGAGCATATATGTTTGTGTATGGATGATGTGATGTATCTATTAATATTTGACACATAGACTTTTTTTAATCCCAGTTTTACTGAGAGATAATCAATAGACATGTTTAAGGCATACAGCATGAGGGTTTGATTTACATATATTGTGAAACGATTACCACAGTAGTTTCAGCTAGCATCCATCTTCTCAAATAAGTATGTTAAAAAGAAGAAAAGAATAAAGGGGGAGAAAAATACTCTGCTTGTGATGAGAACTGTTAAGATTAACTGTGTTAACAACTTTGCTATATAAGTGTTAGCTACAGTCGTCATGTTGAACTTGATGTAGTTCAAGTGGTAGGGATATATCCCGACTACTTACTGTCTTAGAGCTGGAAATGTGTACCTTTGACTACTTTCCTGCAGTTCTCCCTCCCCCCTACCCCTACTTCTGTTAACTGCAAGTCTGATCTTTCTCTATGAGTTTTGTTTTGTTTTAGATGCCACGTGTAAGTGAGAGCATACGGTATTTGTCTGTCTCTGACACTTCGCTTAGCATAATGCCGTTGAGGTCCATCCATATTGTCACCAACTGTAGACATCCTCATTTTTTATGGCTGAATAATATTCTGTTGTATAATTATACTACAGCTTATCTATCCATTGATGGACATTTTGGTTTTTTCTGTATCTTGGCTATTGTAAATAATGCTGCAGTAAACATAGGGGAGCAGATATATTTTCAGGTTAGACACATAGACTCTTAAGTATTGTCAACTGAAGAAAAAGACACAGCCTCAAAGTTGCCAGTTAAGTCTTATTTGGAGATCTCACAGAGGACAATGGCCTGGGAGACGGCCTTTTAGGTAGCTCTGAGGAACTGCTCCAAAGAGGTAGTGGAGGAGCCTGAATAAGCAGGAGTTTTTTGCTGGGAAAAAAACATGTAGTCAAAGATCAAAAGAGTACTGCTCATCAGTAAAACAGGAATCTCTACTTAGTGATTTTAGTGCTTTCCTGTGTGTAGGAATATGCAGGAATCTGGGCTCACTGAAATTATTCCTTAGACATGTATCTTAACCATCTCAGGTCAGTATCCAAAGCATAGAACGGTGCCTCTTTTTCTCGATCCTGTTTGCCTCGGGGCACATCACCTGCAGCAGCTTCAGTGGTGATGGTTTGGTCCTTGTGGAACAGGGACAGAGGGAACATTCTCTGTCTGCTGGAATGGCAGGCAGCATCCCCTGTCCACAGCATCTTAGAGCCAGATGGCACCTCAGAAACTCATCCCACACCTGGCCTTACAGATGAGACTGTTGAAGTTAGCCAGTGGCCCAAAGGTTCCAACTCTTGCTCCAGTGCGTTCCTTAATACATTAGCTCTTGTGTGGCCACGTAGTCACCTTTCTGAGGAGTTATGTTATTCTCTGTCAGCCTTGCAATCAAAGCAGTTTCCGGCAAAGGTCAGCTGATCCCATCAGACAAGCAGCCGAGGAAGGAAGAGCCTGCCCTGACACTGTGGAGAAGGAACCCTGCAACCTGAACAAAAACTGCTTCCATTATGATTATAATGTAACAGGTACGTGAGTAGCCTTCACCTTATAAAGGCCAAATTCCATGTCAGTCAGCTTAGCAGCATTCCCAGAATGTGGATGATTCACCTCCATCACATGTCTTTTGGACATGCTGCTTGGTGATTTAGTCACTAAGTCGTGTCTGACTCTTGTGACCCCGTGGACTCTAGCCCGCCAGGCTCCTCTGTCCATGGGATTTCCCAGGCAAGAATACTGGAGTGGGCTGCCATTTCCTTCTCCAGGGGATCTTCCTGACCCAGGGATCGAACCCACATCTCCTGCATTACAGGCAGATTCTTTACCTCCTGAGTCACCAGGAAACCCATACACACTGCTTACTCCCCCAGAAGTAATTCTGTATTAAATGAAATAAATATTTATCTGTCTTATTGTTAATAAACATCAAGATAGAGAATGAAAATATCACACAGACATTAGCTCTTAAGGCAGATTGTGAATAGTCTAAGTGTTCCTATGTAAGACATCCTCCCACTTTCAGAAGGTGGAAATAAACATCTTTCCCATGGATATCAGTTTATTGAAAGATGCCTTTCTTCTTCAGAATATGTTTAATCATTATAAGTACTGGGACGGCAATTCTTTGTGTGGGGGCAGTTCATATGCATGATTAGTCTGAAGTAAAAAGCATTTGCAATCTTAACCTTCCAAATAGTGTATGAAGATAACTTTTTAGTGTTATCAAAGGTATAGGTAAAAAAAGATGATTTTTTTAGAAGAAAAAAAGGTTTATCATAAATTCTGTTTTTCCCCAAACCCTCGTCTCATATGTCATCAAGGCATATACTCTAGGAAAGAAGAGGTTTTTTTGGCTTATATGACTTGGGGCAACACTGAAGCTTATTTTGGAATTTTCCCCCATGTAATTTTCACGCTGAAATAAACCCCAGAAACTATACTATGACACATAGCAGTCAGCTTGATTTTTTGTTTTTTTTGGTTTTTCTCTTCAATTTGCTTTTGTGACACAATGAATCACAGTTCTCTGGGACAGGCTACATTACCCTGAGAAGAAAGATAAAAGAATCACCTTGCAAAAGATATTTAATAAGAGAAATGAATATGGCCAAGCTGGTTTTGAAATAAATAATACATTTTACAATATTCGAAGTATGGACAGCAAGTGAAATAGTTTTATTGGATATAACTACACAAAATGCCAGCCATTAAAATTATGATTATTTTGCTAAAACAAAAATGTTGACATTTACATTTTTACTTTCATTAGGATAAACAGTTTCTAAGTGACATTTCACCTGCAGGCCACAGCTATTTTTATAGCATCACCAAATGACTAGCCATCAAGATGGTCAAGGAGACAGCTGCCTCAGGAATAACCCCTGTAGCTGTGTGCAGCCCCAGCAATTCCATTTGACTCCTGATACGTTCAAAGCTGGGACCCATATGCTCTGCATGTGGGGTGATTGATGGTGGGGCTTAGGAAGCAGTTGTGAATTAAATACGGGATTCAGGTCATCCGAGATTCGCTGGAAATCTGTTTGGTACCCAGCCTTCTGTTCTGATGCGCTCCTTCCCTTTCAGACTGGAGCACGTGTCAGCTGAGCGAGAAGGCAGTGTGTGGGAATGGCATTAAAACAAGGATGTTGGATTGCGTTCGAAGTGACGGCAAGTCGGTTAACCTGAAATACTGTGAAGAGGTGAGGGGAGGCTGTGTTCTATCTTTGTGAGTAAATTCTCCCCGAATGGTCTCAATTCATGCTGTGCCAAGTGACCGGTGCTTTATGCAGCTCTTTGCCAGCAGATGTTTTCTGCTAAACACCCTCTTGAAAAGAGACTCTTTCCAGCACTACTGATTTCTACACATAATTTCCTGTATTTTGTTCTGCTAGCAGCCCAAAGTTATGCTAATTAGCCCATTCCGAAAGAAATGCTTGGGTAACAATAAGTAATCAAGGTGAATAAAGGCAATAAATCTTAATCAGACTACTCATCATCTTTTGTCATTTCATATGAGTTTTGTGTTGCCTGGGACACCTGCCAAGAGCCGTCATTTATTCTCTCTGTTGCAAAACATTGATCGCATGTGGTTTGGTAGCAGATTTTGATATTAGGATCTAATACCCAGCTGTGAGAGTCTGAGGCAGGTCTGGGTAAGAGAGAGCTTGAGATCTAAACAAAGGGATGGAGTCTGCCGTTAGTATCTTCTGGGTACAGAGAACTGTAACTGTTAATTCTCCAGTTTACAAAAGTAATGTTATCTTTTCTAATATGACCTTATGAAATGTGAGGAAACGTAGTCATAGTTTTCATGAAGCTGTACTTCAGGTTACGATAATTTTGTCTAATTTCCAGATGAAAAGGGTACTCATCTTCCTGACAGGTTTTGACTCCTCCTAAACTAAGGCCCAGTGGGTTCAACATGAACCAAGACAAGCTGGAGCCTCCGTAGACCTGGAACACCCAGGCAGGGGCTTGTAACCTCAGTAGGGCTCAGGGGACATGTGACTACAACCTCTGTCTGCCTGTCCTAGAGGTTACTATAAGCCTATGGTAAATCATTCCAAATCTTAAGGGAAAACTCAAGATGGAAATATTTTAATCCATTTGATATCTTTGATATTATCATATAGACCTAATTTAACTTTCTATATATCTGTCCATAGGAACAGAGCTCCCAAATGCACTGAAAACAAATTTAGTTAATTCCTCTGACAACATAATTCAGCCAATTATGGCCTTAGCTTTAATCAGAAATTTCATACCTGAATCAATTTGACTTTGAAATTAACACCATCGAAGTAATGTGACCACTATAAAAATACAAAAATAACATTATTAGTGAGCATTATTTTTACAGTTATACACACAGGCTGGAGAGCATCCTGTGATCTGCCTCTCACATGAGTCTCTTTTTTTTGTTTTTGCAAATGCACATGCAAATGCCCTTCTAGGCCAGAATAAAACAACAATGAATAGTTCTGAGAGCTTTCAGAAAGCTTAACCCGAATCATAGAAGTTGTGTCACTAAGTTGTGTCCGACTCCCTTACATAATCACACGAGACCAGTGTTTAAGTATCTCATATGACTCCAGAAAAAAGATATAAATAAAGCCTTTTATTTCTGAAATGTGAGTAAAAGTCTGAGAAATAATTTTCGTTATGCAGAAGTCTGGATAAATTTACTTTTATGTACAAATATTACCATGTTTGAATACTATGATGACAATTAGGGATTCAAATTTTAGCACACACTGTATTCAGGGAGAACAGTGCTCCTGGCTCAGGAATTGGATTAAACAATTCATATCTCATTTTATCCACCCTATGGAAGCAGTAGAATTAAATAATAGCCCTGAGAAAAGCTGGCCGTCTTTTCTAACAGTGGATTGGTTGCCTACCTACTAATACACGTGCAAACCCTTCATTCAGTACAGCAGCAGTCGCTCACTCTTGCTGTTCCTCTAACCGCCAAAAAGAAAGATGGTACTACTGTCCAACAAAGAGGAAAATCAGGGTTAAACCCGTCCAGCATTTATATAGCACTTCTGTCTTTGATGTTTCTCAGACATTAATTTACCTGATACCTAATAATTTGGTTTCTCCTTTCCTTGTCTTTGATCCCTGAACATATGTTTAGATAAATGATAGATTAGATAGGTGACAGAGGAGAAAGAAGATACAATTAAGAAACACTATATTATAAAGCAACTGTACTCCAATAAAAATGGAGTAATAAAAGAATTAAGAGAATAAGTAATACAGGGTTAAAATATCTTACTGTTAGATACCCAAAATGTCTGTAAACAGACATCCTTTTTAATCCCCTAGTGAAATAAATAAGCCAATAGTAATTGAATTCTGTGATTCAAATCCTTTCTCCATGAAACCATCATGTACCTTAAAAGCAAAACATCATTTTTATCATATCACCTGAAGATTTCCATCTCCAATCTCCACTTACTTCAAGTGATTTTATGAGACTTAAGTGATATGGTAAAAGTTTTCATACCAAATGCTCAGCTTTGTCAAGTACTCCTGGCGGGGAACATGACAGGAGTGCCTACTGAGGCTTCTGGTGCGCACATCACCGATCTGATCCTCTCCCAGTGCGTAACTTGGAGCCGGGAGCACTGCTTGAACCACAACATAGCATTTCAGAAAAGTTTTCTTTTGCCATTTTCTGCTATATAGATTAGACACTGTAAGCTTATCTTTCATGTTGAAACAAAAAAGTTCTTAAAAATCCCCAAGGATTGCCAATTTGAAAAATTGCACTTTCCTAACCTGCTCTTAATTTTTTCTGTCTCAATGCTACTTTGCACCTTACACTTTTAACATGTGTACATACACAGTGGATAAAATCTCATCCTATATTATAAAGGTTAGGATACTTAAGCAATGCAACTGAATGCAATAAAATACACATTATCATGTGATAAGAGGCTAATGCCAAAATAACAATTACACCACCATTGGCTGCTGAGTTTTAAAAGAGAAAATATCTGTTTAAAAAAATTAATAAATATATATATATAATATTTGTAATAAAAATTCTAAAGGTCCACTCCTCCTTTTGAGAGAGGTAGCTTATTCAAAACTGTTTAATATTATGTTAGTACATTATATTTTGGGATTTGAGTGGCAACCGGTCTTTTAACTTTTCTCCTTTGCTTTTCAGTTTGACATCCACATGTAAAAATAATATCCCCCAAATGCAATTATATGTCTGTATATTGATGATAGTCTTGGTGTTTAACTAGTAGAAAATATTTGTGCTTACACCTATTTATTCCTCCTTTAGGGAAATTCAACCAATATGGAGATTAAATCTTCCTTTTTTTCATTTTTTATTTAAAAAGGTCAATAATATATAAGTATATTACATAAACTTGCTTCTCCATTCATCCTATTCCTTTTGCCCCACCTCTCCTGGAGTGAACCACTTTATATTTTTAATAGTTTGGGCCTTTGTCCTGCAGACATGTTTTTACTTTATTATGCATCTTGCTTATTCTTCCTCTCCTCTCCTCCCCACTCCTGTCTTGCCCTTCCTCCTACCCTCCTTCCATCAACACTATACCATGGTCATGCCTCGGCATCAGTACAAACAGATCTACCTCTGTCCTTTCAGCTTGGCTTGGAGAAGACCTGGCAGATGAACACGTCCTGCATGGTGGAATGTCCTGTGAACTGTCAGCTTTCTGACTGGTCTCCGTGGTCAGAATGTTCTCAAACGTGTGGCCTCACAGGTTTGTTTGTGCCTTATTTGGCATTTGATTAACAGTCAAGGAGTACAAAATAAAACGTCCCTCTTACTTTAAGTCATATCAGACAATCTTCAGAAAGGTTGAATCAAGGTATATTTCTTTCCAAAACATCTAAACCTTTCTTGTTCCTCAAATCTCAGGAGAAATGTCTTTGACCCCTTCTCTGAGAAAGATATATGCTTGATAACATAGCATATGACTGACAGTGCATCACGTTGTATCTTTTAAGGAAAAATGATCCGAAGACGAACAGTGACCCAGCCCTTTCAGGGTGATGGAAGACCATGCCCTGCCTTGATGGAACAGTCCAAGCCTTGCCCAGTGAAGCCCTGTTATCAGTGGCGGTATGGCCCATGGTCTGCATGCCAAGTGCAGGTAATCAGTCTCAAGAAGTGGTATGGAAATGTGTATTCTTTATCTGCAGAGACTTGGTTTTAGAAATCCCTCTCAGAGCTTACAGATGGCATGTTTCTTGTTAGAGATTTTAGTACCTTGCCATTTCATAGCTGTTTAATTAGTTTTGATAACAAGCACTTCCTGTCCCGTATTTTAAAACCATTTGGAGACTGATCCATTTTAATGAAAATTTATTTGCCTGTCTTTGGCTAGAAAACAAATAAATTGTTCATGGTATGCTTTATAGCTAGTGCCCTACAGGACTTCTTCCCTAGGGTTTCAGATGCTCCTTAAACTGCTCATAAATCATAATCAGTGGTGCAGAGATGACTGTTGAGCAATAAGCTAACTAATGAATTATTTTCTTTCCTGATTAGTCATTTCTTCCTCCATTTCAGGATGCACAGTGTGGCGAAGGGACCAGAACAAGGAATATTTCTTGTGTAGTGAGTGATGGGTCAGCTGACGATTTCAGCAAAGTGGTGGATGAAGAATTCTGCACTGATATTGAACCCACTATAGATGGTAATAAAAAAGTGGTTCTTGAAGAAACCTGCACCCAGCCTTGCCCAGGTAACAACAGCAAAACAGAATTCATACTTTTGGCCATTCCTTACCAGGACCACGGTGAAGGGGTTGCATGTGTAAGCCCAAGGTAAGAGATGTCAGCAGTCTTCTCATTCAGTAATACCTGTGCAAACAGCTAGAGGCTGTAGTGTGGATGAAGTGGGCACTGCCTCCTTCTTGCCAGCTGGGGGTGAAGTCCAGTTCCACATGAGCCTCTATTGACACTCACCCCCTGAGTTTTAACATCTGCAAAGAATGGCAGAACATATATGTATTCAGCATTTCCAGAAAGAGAGAATGGAGAATGAGAGAGAGGCAGTGTTTATACACATAACACATAGAGAAGGATTTAAGTCATAATGAAAGCTTCTTGTGGGTCCTGGGTACAGTGTACAGTAAATTCACACCTAGATACACTGTAGTGAAGACATAAAATGTAGGAAAATAGAGAATGTATGAAGCATTCAGAAAGAAAAAAGCAGATTACCCACAACTGGAAGACAATCAGAATTATAACAGATATTGTCTTAGTTAGATGGAAGTCAAGAGATAATGGAATATATTCAGAGTGTGATACAAAATAATCAATAACCTAAAATTCTACTGCCAGCTAAATTATCATTCAAGAGTAAGAAAAAATAATGCTTTGTGAGAAAACTTTCAAAGAAATCATTGTGGCTCAACGTTGGACACAGGAGTCTAAGCAAGTGAAATGTGGAAGTATCAAGTGGTGTAGAAATAACTAGCAGGAAGTGATATGTTAATGATGAGGAATTTGGGTTCATGCAGAGCACCCAAAGGCAGATAGAGTCAAAATAATCACATTGTCAAGCATGACCTTGGGCCTTAAGATCAAGGGGCAGCAATATATTTGTGGGCTAGAAAAGAACAAGACTGGGTATAAATTGTCTGTCTTTTTACATTTAATTGCTATTTTATATTGGAGTATAATTGATTTACAATAATGTGTAAGTATCAGGTGTAAAGCCAAGTGATTCAGTTATGTACATATACACTTTGATATTTTTCCCATATAGATTATTTGAAAATGATGAGTAGATTTCCCTTTATTATAGGGAAATTGGTCCTTGTTATCTGCCTATTTTATAGATAGTAGTGTATATATGTTAATCTCAAACTCCTAATTTATCCCTCCCTCTCACCTTTTTCCTTTGAAAACCACAAGTTTATTTTTGAAGCTTATGAGTCCATGTTTTAGAAATAAGTTCATTTGTGTTGTTTTTTTAGATTCCACATATAAATGATAGCATGCGATATTTGTCTTTCTCTGTCAGACTGACTTCATTTAATACAATAATCTCCAGGTCCTTCCCTGTTGCTGCAAATGGCATTATTTCATTCTGTTTTATAGCTGAGTAGCATTCCATTGTATGTATGTACATGTTTTTTGTGCATTCTCTCTTCTTGGACATTTAGCTTCCATGTCTTGGCTGTTGTAAATAGTGATGCAGTGAACTTTGGGGTGGTCATACTTTTCTCTGGACACAGGCCCAAGAGCGGGATTTCCAGACCATACAGTATCTGTGTCTTTAGGTTCTTAAGGAACCTCCGTGCTGTTCTCCACGTGGTTGTTAGCAATTTAGGTTTTCAGCAGCAGCGTAGGAAGGTTCCCTTTTTTTCCAGGCCCTTCCTAGCATTTTCTCTTTGTAGACCTTTTGATGATGGTCATTTTGACAGGTGAGAGGTGATAGCTCAGTGTAGATGTGTAGATTTGATTTGCCTTTTTTATATATATATATTTGTTTGTTTCTGGGTTTCTTTTTTTGTCTGTGCTAGTTCGCTGTTGCTGCATGCAGGCTTTCTCTAGTTGCGGTGTGCGGGCTTCTCATTGCGGTGGCGTCTCTTGTTGTGGAGCTTGGGTCCTAGGTGCCCACGCTCCAGTAGCTGAACATCTCATGAGCTCCAGCTGTGGTGCACAGGCTTAGCTGCTCCCTGGCATGTGGGATCTTCCCAGACCAGGAATCAAACCTGTGCAAGGCACACTCTTAACCTCTGAACCACTAGGGAGGTCCTTAATTTGCTTTTCTCTAACAATAGGCTATAGGTAGGACCTTTGTAGGTGCGTTTTTTCTTTTAAAGAGTATGAGTAAAATTTCCCTATTGAAATTGACTTTTTGAAAGCCTGCCCTGTTTTGAGTTGTTATTCAATTATGTACCCCAGGCTGTTGTCTTAAAGCAGGAGTCACTTACAGCCCTACAGTCCTATTGAGTTTTTGGTGCCGCTGAGCACAAGATTTCAATTTGCTTTTTCTAGAAATGGCCACAAGGCGGCAGCATTTATTCTTTCCAAACTCTGGTTATTGGGGCACCAGAGCCTTAGAGAAACTCCTGTTCCTGGGTTGTAAATGACAGTGGAATGTAACAGAAAAAAGACTCAAGGGTTGTGGCTCATTATTTCCTGCCTATGTTCTTCACCCCTACCTGGACAAATCCCAAACCCTTCACATCTGCCCTGCCAATGGTGCTGTCATCTCTAAGTTGGGCACCTCAAAGGAAGGAAACTGGAGGTAGGAACCCTACCAACAGGAGCTATGGAGACCTGATAACTTTTCAAAGTTCTTCCAGCCCCAAGGGCCCACCATCCTTTGGGTGCAATAGGTATCCCTGTGGAGGGCTGGCCCCTAGCCTGGACACTGTGCTTTCATCCAAGGGGACAAACATTCCGGGTCCAGCATGGGCTCACTTGCTGGCGCATTGCTATCACCTCCCTCAGCACCGTGGATAGCCCAGTTGGGGGACCCAGGTTGCTCAGGCTCCAGGGTGTAACAGTAGCCGGGGTCACCAAGCTCTACAGGGAATATAGGAGAGAACTCATTTTACTTGTAAAATTAGTACTTATTTTCTGTTGCAGTGTATTTGCATCCCAGGGTTTGTTGTAGGTAGACAGCAACTAGATGCAGATATACATAGATGAGTATCTGGTCTCTTGAGGATGCTTTGCCCTGCTGGGGTATGAGAGTGGTGAATAGGGTTGTCTGTGGTATACCATACATTGCTCCTGTTGATGCTCTTTTTTGAGATATTTGAGTGTATTTATGTTAATAGAAGATGAGATGGCTGGAAGTCATCACCAGTGCAGTGGACATGAACTTGGGCAAATTTCAGGAGATGGTGAGGGACAGGGAGGCCAGGCGTGCTGCAGTCCATGGGGTCACAAAGAGTCGGACACGACTGGGTGACTGAACAACAACAATGTCATCTCCAAAGCTTTCCTGGTGGCTCAGTGGTAAAGAATCCAACTGCCAATGCAGGACCCACAGGTTCAGTCCCTGAGTCAGGAAGATCCCCTGGAGTAGGAAATGACAGCCCACTCCAGTATTCTTGCCTGGGAAATCCCATGGACAGAGGAGCCCGATGGGCTACATGAGGTCTCCAGACTGCGACACCACTTAGCTATTAAATCACCACCACCACATGTTAATCCCAACGTCCTGATTTAAGCCCACCCCTGCTCTTCCCCCAACAAAATCCTAGGTGCATTTTCTAAGACTATGACTCTTTGTCTTCTGTAAATGAGTTCCCTTGTCTCCATTTTTAGATCTCATCTAAAAGTGATACTGTCAGATATTTGTCTTCCTCTATCAGATGTACTTCACCTAGAATGATCATCAGTAAGTCCTTCTATGTTCCTGCAAATGGTATTAGTTTCTTCACTGAGATGGCTGAGTAACATTCCCTTGTATATAAGTACATCTTTTTCCGTTCATCTCTGGAAGGACATGGGATTGCCTTCACGTCCTAGCTATTGTAAATAGTGCTGCAGTGAACATTGGGGTGGTTTGATTTTCCCAGTTACCTGGGACATTTTTCCAGTTATACTGAAACCCCAACAAACAGTGGGGTTTGCTTTCTCCAGTTATACTTTTCTCCAGATACACACCCAGGAGTGGGATTTCCGGACCATAATGTATCTGTGTCTTTAGGGTTTCAGGGAAACTCCATCCTGTCCTCCACAGTGGCTGTTAGCAATTTTTGTTTTCAGCAGCAGTGCAGAAGGGTTCCCTTTTCTGCAGCCCCTCTCCAGCGCTTACTGTTTGTAGACTTTTTGATGATAGCCATTCTGACAGATGAGAGGTGATCCTTCTGTGGAGATATGATTTGCTTTGTCTGACAGTGGGCACTGGTAAGGATCTTTGTCGGTGGCTTTTTCCTTTAAGAGTGTGAGTAAAATTTACCTGTTGAAATGGGCTTCTTGAATGCCTGCCCTGTTTCAAACTGTGACATGATTATTTCTTGAGGGCAGGAGGCATTCACAGCCCCAGAGGCCTTGTGAATTTTAAGAGCCCCTGCCCAGTTTTTAAAGTTGTTGTTCCTGGAAACGGCCACGAGGCGGCAGCACCTCTTCTTTCCCGCTCTCTGGTTATTGGGGCACCAGAGTCAGAGAAGATTGTGTCCTGGGTTGTAAATCAGAGTGGAATGTGCCAGAACAATGACCCAAGGGCCTGTGTGTTATTGCTTCTTGCCCATCATTCTTCACCCGCAATCTGGACAAATCCCAGACTTCAATTCTGCGCTTCGGAAGGTGCTGTCATCTTTAAGTCAGGCGGCTCTAAGGATGGAACCTGGAGGTAAGAACCCCACCACTGGGAGCCCTAGGAACCAGATGACTTTACAGAGCTCTTCCAGCCCAGAAGGTCCAGCCTCCTCTGGGTGCCTCAGCTTGGTGTGGCTGTGGAGGGCCGGCCCGGGCCCCGAGATTGTGCTTCCACCCAGGGGGAACAAACACTACAGGCCCTAGGGGCACTCACTTGTTGGCATATCCAAGGACCGTCCAGCCTTTCACCCAAGGCTGATCAGACTCCAGGGATGTGGCAGCAGCCCGGCTCACAGAGGCCTGAGAGGAATATAGGGGGCCATTCATTTTATTTGTCAAGTTAAAAATTTTATTTGAAATATAGTTGATTTCCAGTGTTGAGTTTGTTGTAGGTGTGCATCAGCTTGATAAGATAGATGAATATCTCATCTTTGGGGGATGTTTTTCCCCT